GATGACTAGTGATGTCATTATTATTTTTTTATTATTATTTTATATTAAAGCATTTTTTTATTATTATTTTATATTAAAGCATATCTAAACCCCCCAAACATACAATGCAGGTTACCAGTCTTTAGATGTGGCCACTGCATTAGTTGTTTTTTTTTCCTGCTTTTCTTTCCTTTTTATTTTGACTTCCAGAAGCAGACCATGAATGAAACCATGAATACAAACTGATCCCTGTAAGCCCCCCCATCAGTGTGAAATGGTTCGTCTCATTCCTCTAACTGCCCCTTCGGCTGGGCGGCTTGGCCTGGTAAAGGCAGTTGACAAATAACAGACTTACTGTCCGGATCAACAGGAAATCAAACTGTTAGAGGGGCCGTAGTTGCACTTTATGGTGCATTTGGACCGCAGGTCAAGCACAGATTTTCCTTGGGATCTCGACCATTTTCCATTAGACCGTAGCTACATGCTCAATGATTTAAATGCATCATTTGTCTAGAGCACCCCTTGGCTCAGGTCCTTAAACTTGTTGGTTACGCAGAAGCAAAGCTGGAATGTTTAAATGTGGAATCTCACTGTCTCCGTGCTGTTTTTCTTTTTTCAGGGATGGTCCTGGTACGGAGCGAGAATGGGCAGCTGTTGATGATCCCCCAGCAGGCGCTGGCCCAGATGCAGGCTCAGGTTCAAGCACAGGCCCAGTCCCAGGCGCAGGCCCAGGCGCAGGCCCAGGCCCAGGCCCAAGCCCAAGCCCAAGCCCAGAATGCCATGGCTAATCGGCCTGCTACGCCCACCAGTGCAGCACCGGTGCAGATCTCCACAGTACAGGTACGGACGTCATTCTAAGTGTTTTGTGTATGTGCGCTCTGAATGGGAGGGATTCTGTCCATCCTTTTAAAGAACAACTCCGGGCGTGTAAAAAGAATTAACCCTCGAAGTCAGACTACCCCTGCACTGTTTTGGTCTACGGTCTCTGCCTCTGTAATGTACATATTTGTCCAGGTCGGTGACTCGGTGTTGACGCAAGAAACTAAAGCGGGCCATACGCTAGTAGATTTTTTTTTGTCCCGCTCACCCTGCAAGCCCATTCACACTAGCCCGGCCATTGAAATACTGCATTTCAGCGGATGGGCGAGTGCACTGTGACAGCCCTGGTGGTGTGCGCTGTATTGCACACCGCCAGAGCCGTCTAGAGCCCTCACTATTTACCCCCAACAGGACAGGCGGGGGGATATCCCCCCCCCCTGCTGCCGGGATATTGCATTCTGACGGTGGTGGGTGTGCCGCTGTCAGAATACCCATACAACGATTGCAGCTGATTGGTGACAGTTCGACCGACAATTTTCCTCCCGACTCCTCCTTTTTTTTGGATTGAAGGATGTCAGGTGAGAGGCGAGTTTTGGACAGTTTATCAAGAATGGCCAAACGACAAGCATTTTCAGAATCCCTGGCAATGAAGAAGAGGTAATGGCAGCCCCATATTTGTCTCTTGACAGGTTCACTTTAAAACCTTTCCTGAATAGCTTTCTGTGTCCACATTGGGGGATCATCACTTTCTCTATTTTTACAGGGGTGAGCGCGAGTTAAACTTCATTATTTCTATATTGAGGGCTTGTTCGCACCCTGTCCGGATCATGTCCAGACCAGAACATTTTGTTCCTGGACCAAAAAAGCATCCCAGTGGTATTTCTGGGATCTGTTCACACCAGTACAGTCCGTTCCGGTCCAGACAAAAAAAAAATGTACCGCTGGTCTCCATTTCTCTGGTCTGGAATGCACTGGAACACATTAAAAAAAAAAACATATGCAAACGCACTGGACTGCACATGTAAGCCCATTTTAAGCAAAACGTAATGCACTGTGTTTGCATATCTGGTCCGTTCATGGTGTGAACGTAGATTAAAGGTACTGATTGCACTGCCCCAAGCATGGATCGCCTCTAGATGGGGAGAATCCGTTTCTCTGCAAACAATCGGTGATCTGTAATGGTGCAGCAAATAAACCTAATTATAACTGACAATGAGCATTCGCTGGAGTGGCACCGCTTACCTTTCCATCTATATGTTTTATCAGTGGGGAGATAATGCTGACAAGCAGGTGATGTAGAAATACTGATCGCTCTGCGATGCAAATTAGCTTTTGGAAAAATAATAAGCTGTCAAAAGCCCGTCGTTGTGTTCCTGTGACGGATTCACTAAGTGACAGGGATTTTATTTCTCATGACTTTTCTCTCTTTCTGACCCGCAGTCCCCCGGCGCACCTTTGATGGCACGGCAGGTCACGCCAACTACCATCATCAAGCAAGTCTCTCAGACGCCAACGACTGTGCAGCCCACCACGACACTACAGAGACCCCCTGTTGTACAAGTAAGTACCCTGTCTCCCCCCCAACCCACACGATTCACCAGCCTACCCTAGCTCATGTATCACTGCAAGGACTGGGTGCTGCAATTGGCATACCCGGCGTATGAGTGCCATGCTGTGTTCATTCATATCCTGGGGGACGACAGCATTATGATGTCATCTGCATACAAATCCTTATCGGCCTTGTCAACAGCAGCCAATCGCAACAAGAATCCATAAAGTTGCTTTGGCTTATAGTGTTCTAATGTAACTTTTTGCAAAAGGTTTTATTCATTTCAAAACCTAAATAATAATAATGGATTTTGATATCCGGATTCTCTAGTATGTAGGGAAAGCACAGATAGATAGGCATGCTGAGCCTCCCACCTAGTGGTCATCATTGAGCACAACTCCAACGTGAGGATGTACAATCAGTTTTGACATTAAATTACATTGTTGGAGTATCAGGTACAAGATACAGGCGCAACAATAAAAATCCAATTGTTTTGTTACATTTTATTTATTGTTACAGCAGATTCATAATTTATTCTTATTAGAGTCTTATAGCTAATAGTTGTGTTTTTACTGAGAGCGCCGCAGCCGGGACGGATCCCGACAATGCTGTTGAGATCCACCCAGCTGACTGATTGACAGCGGGCTCGGCCTACCTAGAGGTAGAGCCAGCTGTGCTTGCCCCCTCCCCTGTCTGTCCCTACAGTCAGTGCTGGAGGATCGGAGTAGGGAGTCCCTGTGGGGAGCGGTGAGTGACAGTCACGACTCTGCAGGGAGATGATCGGGAAGTGAGCGAGCGACGGTATGTGTTCGCTCACTTCCCGATCTATAGAGCCGTCCTATGACAGTTTCAATGTCACATGTCGGCTCTAACTAATGAGGGTGAGTGTAAATCACTCACCCCCAAAAATGATTTTAAATGTATTTTGTTTTTCACACTGCATACATTATCCCATGTGTTCATTTTTTTTCTTCCTGAGACTTCAGACTCCACTTAGAGCAGAACTCCAGGTAAAACATTCCTTAACCCTTGCGGTGGGGCTACTCCCCCCCCCCGTACTACAAGGGTAAGTGTTAGTTTTTGACTAGGCTCAAAAATAAAGTTATACTCCCCCGATCCTCGCAGCTGGCCTACTGTAACAACGCTCCTTTCTGCCTCTCTCCGTCTCCACTTCAGTGATGGAATGCTGTCCCTAGGCGTCCTCATGCCTTTGTATAGGACATGATGACTCGGGGGACCGTAGAAAGGAGGAGCAAGGCAAAAGGGACCGGTCTAAGAGCCAGCCCGCTTAGAGGGTCAGGTGAGTATAACTTTGTTATTTTTGAACCTGGACAAAAACTAGCACTTAACCCTTGCAGTGCGTGGGATAGCCCCACCATAAGGGTTTACATTTGCTTAGCCGGTGTAGGGGATGTGATGGAGTATTGAGTATTTTTGGAAGTGTCATTAATCTGACCTGCTTTAGGCGTGCATGCCTTGTTTTCTGCCTATTGCTCTAGCACAGGGGTAGGCAACCTTGGCACTCCAGCTGTTGTGGAACTACAAGTGCTATGAGGCACTGCATGACTCCCAAAGGCAAGATTATTATGAAGTTTTGTAGTGCATGCCTTGTTTTCTGCCTATTGCTCTAGCACAGGGGTAGGCAACCTTGGCACTCCAGCTGTTGTGGAACTACAAGTGCTATGAGGCACTGCATGACTCCCAAAGGCAAGATTATTATGAAGTTTTGTAGTTTCATCCCAGCTGGAGTGCTGAGGTTTCCTACCCCTGCTCTAGCAGGTTCATATATGGATAATCTGTAGCCTGTAGGCTCCTGTCACTGCAAGTTGCACCAAACACTACCAAAGCCTAAAGTGTAAGTCAACTCCAGGGAAATGAAAAGCTTTGCTGTCCCACGCACTGCATGGGTTAAGTGTTTTGTTTGTGCCTCGGGGACCTGTAAAAGCTGTTTTACTTACCCGATCCCCGCTCACCCGGCAGTAGATGCTCTCCTGTTCTCCCCCTCTGTTTCGACAGTGGACGGTCCCTCGGCATCCTCATGTGCATGGCTATGGAGCTTGCTTTGTGCTTGCTGATGCCAGCGGTCCTTAGACCACCAGAGCAAAGGTGAGAAAGAGGCAGTGGGGAGCCTGTGGGAGCGGGGATCAGGTAAGTAAAACAACTTTTTCAAGTCCCCTAAACAAAAACTTAACCCACAAACACTGCAAATAAAAACGTTTGATTTCCCTGGAGTTGGCTTTAAAGTTCTTAGATGCAGGTATCCAGTCTACTGATTTCGCATGAGGGGTGTTTTTATTTTATTTTTTCCCCAGTGTTGTATTTTAAGTTGCCACCATTGCTCGTTACCCACCTGGCTTGCTTTGAACACATTTTAGGGAGGTCTTTATTGATTTCTGTGTGCCGTCGGCCCGAGAATCGGAACGGTGCCCGGCAGCCAGTTGTAACGTCCGTGTTGTCTCTCCTGCACAGAATCAGATAGTGCTCAGCAGCACAGCGCAAACTGCCACTTTGGGGACAGCGTCCGCGGTCCAGACGGGAACCCCGCAGAGAGCGGTGCAAGGAACTGCTACCCCAGCGACAGCCACCACGGTACAGCGGCCTACAATGACAAGCGTCCTGAAAGCAGACTGGCACCATCTGGCAAGATGGTGCCCTGTATAGGTTTCCAGGTTGCTCTGTAGGGTTGGGAATTTGCTGCATAGGGCATTTAAAGGGGAACCTACTAGACCTTAACAGATTATGAAACATTTAGGGTCATTGTTCCTTTTAGTTTCTAGAAAATCCCACCCCGCATTATTGGAGCAGACAGAAAATAATATTTGGAGGAGTTCTTAGAGTTATAGGGCAGCCTTTGAGCAGCCACAGTTGGTTGTCCATACTGGAGCTCCAAGTACAACTATAGAACAGGTATTGGCATGTGAAGATACTACAAGCAATAGCGGAAATTATGGATAATTCTAGACTCCTGGAGTGTTCCTTGACAAAATAAGGTTTTGCTTGTAACAAACGCAAGCCAAAGCCCAAATTGGCTCCCGCCTAATCTTAATAAATGCTTTACCTGTCTAGATCTCTGTATCCGCTGACCCTAAATGTCACCGTTTGATTGTACAATCTACCTGGCCATACAAATGACTGTGTACTCTTCTATAAATTTCCAGCAACTATGTAGTGTGAGGACCTTCCTGATTGTATACGAGTTTGGTGCATTTGGGACGCCCTTGCACTGCATATAGGTTGGTCAACTCAAAGGTAATTGTGCAAGGTTTTGGATTAAGATCTATATTTCTATGCCTCTTAAGGGTCTGTGTTGATGGGCTTGGGGCCACAAATGCAGCATCCTTTTTACATAATTTTTAGATGCTTTTCAGTTCTTTCAGAATTCATTGCTGATGCAGTTGACCATCTTTTGACCTGCAGTTGGCCAACTGCAAGCCACTTTGCATTTCCATAGACTTATATGGTGAGAAAAGCAATTTTGACGCAACCAGAAACCCATGGACACTGGCCCCTAATTGCTCTGCCCTGTATTGGGATTTATAGTCCTATGCTGTAGTTAGGGTTGCCACGTGTCCCAAATTCACCTGGACAGTTCGGGTTTTGAGTCCTGTATGTGCTGTGTCTGGGTTTCAGCTGGCCTGAAACCCGGAACCAGCACATACAGGACTCAACCCGGACGGGACAGGTGGCAACCCTAGCTGTAGTTGTGACTGTCATGCCTCTTGTTGCAGTTTGCACACTTAGCCCTTCAAAGATCTGCCCATTGTGTAGACCAATGTTCTTCCAAATGTCATTACCCATTGGCAATTGGAATCTCATGCACTGCATGTTTTTATATAATGTGTGTCCAGAGCTGTACCAAAAGCCAATATGTATTGACCGTGAATTATTTTTGAGGAGATTGCTCAGGAAATGGTAATCACCAGTTTGATTAAGGTTCGTCATTGGTAACATGGGTTAGTCCCTACAGCCCCCTATCACATTGGGTATGGCGGTATTTTCAGGTCACTCTGCATTACCTTATTTTATGCATAGGTGACTCTGCAGGTAAAGTCTATAATTGCAGATCCCTGTTATGAGAAATCTCAGACTCCTTGTTTTCTTTGTGACTACACCAAAGAGTTCATAACACCCAGGATATTTCCAAATGTTCCTGGAAACCCCTTTCAATAAAAATGTTCCATACCCTTGAACATGCAGCCTATGGTGTCAGGTGGAATTTCTGGAATATCAGACTGACATTTGGCTCATGAATATTGAACAGACGGGTCCTCAGTAATGGCATTTAAAAGAAAATTCTAATATTGTTTTACATTGAACTTCCTAATTTGTACCTCCTGCTTTGTGTGGTTGAGAGGCCTCATTAAAGTCATGTGTTAAAGTGTACCTGTCACCTTGATGGAGAGAATATCAAACATTCTCCCGCCGTCTGAGCCCTGTCTTTTAAACCTTTACCTCATTATGGCTTTAAAGTTTTATTGCCACCTCGAACATGCAGAAGAACCCCGTAGATGAAGGGGCAAAATGATCAGTAGATGTTTGCATGCAGCAGGCTGATTCACTGGAAGTGACTTCTAGGGCAAAGAAATAAAGCACATTGTGAGAGCATCAATGGTTTGAGCATGCACTGTAATTAATATTTCTTGTACGCTTCAGGAAACCATGGAAAATGTGAAGAAATGTAAGAATTTTTTATCCACTCTCATAAAACTGGCCTCATCGGGTAAACAGTCTTCAGAGACGGCAGCTAACGTTAAAGAGCTAGTACAGAATCTGCTGGTAAGTGGACTTTGCGCTGTCTGTGTGTCATCTCAGCCTCATGTGTCCTTTCTCAGTCTCATGCCTCCTTTCTGTAGTCCATGTGTCCTTTCCCAGCCTGATGCCTCCTTTCTGTAGTCCATGTGTCCTTTCCCAGCCTGATGCCTCCTTTCTGTAGTCCATGTGTTCTTTCCCAGCCTGATGCCTCCTTTCTGTTGCCCATGTGCCCTTTCTCGGCCTTATGCCTCCTTTCTGTTGCCCATGTGCCCTTTCTTGACCTTGTGCCTCCTTTCTGTTGCCCATGTATCCTTTCTCGGCCTTGTGCCTCCTTTCTGTTGGCCACGTGTATTTTCTCGGCCTTGTGCCTCCTTTCTGTTGCCCATGTGTCCTTTCTCGGCCTTGTGCCATCTTTCTGTTGCCCATGTGTCCTGCTCATATTAGCCTGATGTACGGACCTCCTTCTGAAAATGCTGTTTGCTTGTACATAATAAAACATTGAACTTCTGCAGTTTAACAGAAACATTTTCTAGCTTTGTTAATACTGTCAGTTGTCAGTGGTTAGATCAGCTGGGAGAGCAGAATTGGCCAGTTTAGCTTTAAGCCCATGGATTCCTGATGTGTAATAGTTATTCAAGACATGACATGAAGGTGTAGTTTACTCACTTACATTTTGCTTTAGATGATGGATGTTTCCTCATTCAGGATGATAAATTACATGACCCTTTATAAAATAACTTTTAACTGGTCATGTTTTTGTGGGTGCTGTACAACAAGGGCACTACACTCAGGAGATCTGATAGGGCTAATACTTGTGATTGACAGCTCCTGGCAAGTTTTATAGGTACTGTGTATAGAAGGGGTGCAGTGCACAGGAGATCTGATGGGGCCAATCCTTGTGATTGACAGCGTTTAGGTGAGTGTCTGCACAGTGGACATCCACAAACAGAGGTGGACTCGCTGCTCCTATATATAGAGTGAGAAAATAAAAAATCAATACTTTTGAAACTAAAATTATTGAATTTTTTTCTCACTCTTTGTGTAAAGGTCGGAAGGTTGTTACTGTCTTTTGATGTGTGAAAGATACCTGTCGATGCAACCGCTTACGTTTGTTGTATGCTTTTCGCGGTGAGAATATAGATGACCTTACATGTAAACTTTCTCCTCCAGGATGGGAAAATTGAAGCAGAAGATTTCACCAGTAGATTATACAGAGAACTGAACTCTTCACCTCAACCTTACCTTGTGCCTTTCCTAAAGGTAAGACCATTCTTCCCAGCCTGGGCCTCGTGCACATGAATGTTGCACCCTGACACAGGTGAAACCATCCAGCACTGAAAATTCATTGGGGTGGGATATAGTATATGAAAAAAAATAATTATATATATTTTAGCTATCAACATGTTGCTATATCGAAGTGAGTCTGCAAGGATAAACATTATTTTGAAGGCACAGGCTTCACGGCTTTCTACTGATCCTGTTCTCGCTGCCTAGTGTGTTACTGGCCTGCCTATAGGCATGCATCTCTGGGGTGATGGAGCAATGACACCAGTCTAATGGAAGCCGTAAGAGTTGGGCTTTAAGTCCTAGGTCAGGTGTATAAAATGTCTGGTTCAAAAGGGTCCAAGTCATAACTGCAATTTGTGCTTTGTATATATTACATTTGGTATATTATGGCACAAGGATGCCTTTTGCATAATTTTGACTTGGTAATCTATAATCTGGTTTTATGTTTCTACAGAGGAGCCTCCCTGCCTTGCGCCAGCTGACCCCTGACTCGGCAGCCTTTATCCAGCAGAGCCAGCAGCAGCAACCGGCCCCCCAGGCCACGACGGCCCTCACCGCGGTCATGCTGAACAGCTCTGTACAGCGAACAGCTGGCAAGACCACTGCCACCGTCACAAATACATTACAACAGCCTGTCATCAGCCCCGCACAACCTGCACATTCGAAACCTGGCCAGCCAACTCCACTGGTGAGTCGCTTTTCACAAACCAATTTCTTACAAAAATTATAATCTCCTATCGACTTTAGGCGCCTAAATGCTCCTCGGCTTTGATTCCTGGGAATCCTCTGAACATAATATGGCAAGGTTTGACTCGCAGGGGAAGACAATCCACATGCACAAATATCAGACACACTTGGGATACAACTGATGTGCACTTTGATGGATTGAAGAAGTAGAGCGAGCGGACTTTTTCAATGTTGGATCAGTTGTAATGTGGCTACATCCACCAATACCGGATGATTACAGAATAACATAGCATGTAACCTATACTGATATACTTCTCTGTGCTTTTCCCCCTCTTCTCTTCAGGTTATCCAGCAGGCACATAAAGCCGGGGCAGTTGTAAGACATCAACAGGTCACATTGACCCAGACGCCCATGGTAGCACTTAGACCGCCTCAAAGCCGAATTATGCTCACCACTCCACAGCAGATTCAGCTAAACCAGCTGCAGACAGGTGAGTCTGACTGCCCAAAAGAGATGTGATACAAAGAGTTACCAGTGTCATGTGACTACAAACACGATATATTGTTATCAATGGATCTTAGTGATTGAGACTGGAAGAAGTGACTGTTGGGATGAGTGTGGGTGTCTTCAGACCTATTTCAGTGTTCCAGCCAGACAAACTCTGGGAGATGTGTCCATATGTAGATGGGGTTATGCAAATGAATTTATCAGCCTGGCCAGTTCTCTCTGTGGACTACACCCCACCCCTGCCCCATGTTGTATAGATGAGGAGAGTGAGAGGTGTTCTGTAGTCTGAACACATTTCCAGGGTGAATCACGCTGCTTCTCCATAGATGCAACACAATGAGTGAGAGTTGTCACACTAGGAAAGGAAGTGTGTTACTGGCAGGATCTCCAGGTAAAAATAAAAGGGGGCATTTGTGACATTTTTGTTCTTGGGTTCTCTGTGGGGTTTCTCTGCGAGTATGAAGCTTCTTTATAGATCGACCTTACACAGTCAATGCAGGACCCAATACCAGTAATGGTTTTGGAGTAAAGAGGGTGGATTGATAAAGGGTTTGGGGTGAGGCAAGGGGGTAGCACACAGACATTTAAATGCATTTAATACCTTGTCTTAATTTGCTTTTTTGTTTCCCTCTGTCCAGTCCCCGTGGTAAAACCGAATGTCGTAGCCGGAATGAAAGCCTTTCCCACGACGGCAGCGCAAGCAGTGGCCGCACAGAAAAACAAGTTAAAAGAGCCAGGGGGAGGATCGTTCAGGTAAGAAACATTTTTTAAAAAAGTATTCACCTCTTTGTAGTTTTCTTCCTCACTGTATACAATTTGTCCACCAGGAGTAGGGAGACCTCATGGTGCAGCTACACGCAGCAGGTGAACCTTTAATAATATCCAGACAAGTCAGAGACCCCTCTTGGTTTATACCAAATTATACTATCCAAAAATTGCCACACACCGTTAGTTTCCCCACGCACGTAGTTTATTGGAATCCAGCAGCTAATCCGATATAGGCTCTGCCTAGTAACTGCCCACCTCCGACACATTTTACCCTTGCGGGCTTAGTCGTAGACTCGTATATCTACACCTAAGCCCGTAAGGAATCCGTTCCTGAAAGGATCCGTGCACAGATGCCCTGCTGATAGAAACTGTATGGAGCGGATGTCATTCTTGTGACCTCCATGCCCGTTCAACTGAACTTACCAGGCCCATGTTAGATCTATGGAGAGTCGGATGTAAGTGGACATGTGTTAATTATGTTTGGTTACCTATCTTTCCCTTTCAGGTCCTGAACAGACCTAGACGGACTAATCAGATGTAAATGGACTTATGTCCGCGTACGTCCAACAGCCCATAGATCTGCATTGAGCTTCTGATCAGGGCTGCCTGAAAAACGAACAGGCAGACCTGATCAGAACGCCGGGTGAAAGGGGCCTGCCTGAATGTTAAAAGTGTCTGTCTGGAGGATTTGACACTGGAAACGGATGAGGTGATGATAACATGTACAGTATATATCTAAAGAACTCAATATTTGTTAAATTCAAGGTTAGTTCATTATAGCTGACACATGTAGATATTTAGGAAATGCAAGTGCAAACAGATCACCAGTTATGCTCTTTAGGCGAGTAGAACTGAAGCAAGTTTTGAATAAAGTAGGCTTTCTTTATTTGCCGTCTGTCCCATTGCCGAGATTTTCCTTCACTTCCTGTCTGATAGCCACAACAGGAAGTGAGAGAAAATACCTGGTGGTCCGCAGGGTCACCAAACCTAGTTATCCCCATTGGATTTCCCATCCATTTCTGTTCTGTTGACAACCCACAATTTAGGATTGGGGTTACCATGTACCTAATACATTATATTCATTCAATGTGACCCCACTGAATGTGACCCCCAATTCCCATGCACTTCCTGTTCCATATTTCCATTATTGCAGTTCAATACGTTTTTTTTTTCTCATCCAGATCTCAGATTGCCTTGACAATTCTTATTTAATTTTACGATTGTCCTACATCACTGTTCTTGTTCCTCCCGCGCAGGGATGACGATGATATCAATGACGTGGCTTCAATGGCAGGAGTGAACCTGTCAGAGGAAAGTGCGCGGATATTGGCCACAAATTCGGAGTTAGTGGGGACGTTAACGCGATCTTGTAAAGATGAACTGTTCCTTCTGCCTGCAGTATTACAGAGACGGATACTGGAGATCGGTACGTCTGGTCAGGTTCCCATTGCAGAGGGCCATAAAATGACTGACTTTAAAAAGTATTGTTATTGGGGTTCTGAAGTTTGGAGCTGATACAGTTATAATGGGATGCTTAGTATAGGAGAGAGCTAATACATTCACTAAATGTGCTAAAGAGAGCTAATACATTCACAAAGGTGCTAAAATAGACTAAAAGGCTTTTCTAGAGCAAGAACCTCAGTTCCTAAAGGCACAGTCTACTTTTAGACCATGTTACACCTATATTTATGCATGGGCGTATACAACAGCCCCCTAACCCCCCCCCCCCCCCCTCCCCCCCCCCCCCCCCCCCCCCCCCCCCCCCCCCCCCCTTTTACCTGAATCGCCGGGTGCTTGTTCTTGTAGGTTGTTTTCTTAATTCAGCGTGGCTCTGCCCGCACAGCTGTGTCATCCATTCACAAGGATGGGTGAATAGGTTCCATCTGACACTGTGGATCACGTTCTCAATAGGGCTGTGACATCACCCTATTTGTAGTCCATTTACGACTTCCTCCAGCCCCATTACACAAGGTCTATACCTCTGTATGGGCCTGGGGGGTAAACCGTGCAAGAGCCTGTTCATTTTACCCGTGACACCCTGATCGTAGTGGTGATGCTTTGCAGGCCTGAATGCAGAAAGTTAAAGGAGAACTATGGGGTCAGTGTTTTTCCCCATAGTTCTCCTTAGGGTAACGGGAGGACACAAACTACAGCTACAGCTCGCGGTATACTGAGACGCCGGAGCGGATCCCGACGTAGATGACGGGATCCGCCCAGCTGTGTGAGTGACAGCTGGCTCTGCCTATCTAGAGGCAGAGCCAGCTGTACCCTCCCCCGTCTGTTCCGCTAGTCAGCGCTGGCAGATCGGAGCGGGGAGAGGGAAATCCAGCCCCTCCCCCTGTCACGGCAGAGAGCCGTGACAGGATCGAGAGGTGAGCGAACCTGGTATGTGTTCGCTCACCTCCCGATCTACTGAGCCGACCTGTGACAGTCTCATTGTCACAAGTCGGCTAGAACTATGAGGTGAGTGAAAATCACTCATCTCATAGTTCTCCTTTTTAAAGGCTTAGTTCACCTTTCTGACCGTGTTTTATGTTAAACCCGCATTTAGGGTGCAATATGAAACATGGTCAGATCGCAACCTTGTGCGGACATGGATGGAAGGTAGAGTCAGCAGGAACCTGAGCGTTGCACCCACCATCTACTGATTGCAATACTTTACAGCAGCTCTTCTCAACCAGGGTGCCATGGCACACTGGGCTGTCTTCGGCCTTCCTTAAGGATGCCTTGAAATGTTCGCACAGATCTCTGACGTGAAGGGGGAAGTCTGATGTGAAAGGTGGGCCTCTTTTGTAAAGGAGGGCTCCTGATGCAAAGGGGGGCTTCTAGTGTGAAAGGTGACACTCTGATGTAAAAGGAGGGGGCTCCTAATGTAAAGGAGGACTCTGATGTGAGCGGTGGGATTCTGGTGTGAAGGGGGCTCCTGATTTGAACAGGGTGCTCTGATGTGAAGGGGGAACCCCTTTTTTGTGTTTAAGTATGGGGTGCCCTTTAAAATCTATACCAGGCATCTATCAGGAATTGGGGTCTGGTATGGATTTTGCAGGGGGCCCACATGTAATTTTATATACATTTTAGACCGGGGTGCCTTCAATACTTTTAAAGGGTCCCGTTAATGAAAAAAAGTTGAGAAACACTTTGTTACAGGCTCCTATGCAAAAAGAAAGTAAAAATGATGCAATTGTTTGTACTTTCATGAAGAATCGTGCATTTATTGTTTTTTAAGTTGAACTTCCCCTTTTATCATTGTTGGTTCATTTATTATATTTTTTGGAAAAGTGGACTATACCTTTTTAGAAAACTATTCAAATCTATTGGAAGACCAACAAACTTCTATCATTTCTAATTGTCTTCCTTGGAGGGCGCTTCTGATCATTCCAGTACCTGACACCCTGAGAGATAGTCTATACAAACCTAATCGCTCAATCATTTTGACTGACAGCCCAGAGCACACAAAGCCAAATATTGAATCTTCATTTGTGTCATGGCAGATGAAATTGATTTTGTTTTCCCGGTGTGGTCCCACTGTGACATCATGAATTTGAATGCAGACACATGGGCTGATGGTTTTTATTCACTGGAGATTTACACTTTGGGAACTTGCAGAGAAATGGAATAACTTTTAATTGGCAGCTGCCATTCCGGTGTGACCTTTTCATCATCTCTTTTCCTCATTTCTAGGTAAGAAACACGGCATAACGGAAGTCCACCCCGACGTGGTCGGTTACGTCTCGCACGCCACGCAACAGCGATTGCAAAACATCGTCGAGAAAATCTCCGAAAGCGCTCAGCAAAAGAACATCACTCACAAAGTAAGTTATAGGATAAAGTCCCCTATTAAGTTTGGGCCAGGGGTGGGCAACTCCGACCTTCTAGCTGTGCTTTAACTACAAATCCCAACATGACTCTGCCTTTTGGGAGTTGTGTATGTGACTGTGAGTATTGCCATGCCTCATGGGACTTGTAGTTCCACAAAAGTTGAAGGTCTGGAGTTTGCCCACACCTGGTCTAGGCAACAAAGGGGACCTGTCGCAGTTCATTTGGGTACAGCAGGGCATGACTGAGTAATTGTTCATCAAATTATCACAGCCATAATGGAGGGGTTAATAAAGACCAGTACACAAGTGTTTAATACAAACTTTCTACCAACCCGTATACAAAATGACATGTTTACCCGTTAGTAGATTAAGGCGTTCGCTGTGTACCTGAAATATTTGTGCCGTATGACTCTCTGATTATCTCATTGCTGCACTTTTTTTTTTTATTGGAATGTATTGGCAGCCTAGGCAAAGCTGAGCCTTTCAGAGAGCCTCCAATGATCAAAGAACAAATGCTGCATGTGGATGGATCCCGAGCCCCCGGCATCAGCGGCATCATTTAGTTTTACGTGTTCGTGTTGGTTGGATGTTCGCTGTATGCTTGATTTTTATTCCTAACGTCTCTCTTTCCTGCAGGAGGACGATCGGTACGATCAGACAAGTGATGTTCGGACGCAACTTAAGTTCTTCGAACAGCTCGACCAGCTAGAGAAGCAGAGGAAAGACGAACAGGAGAGGGAAATTCTCATGCGGGCAGCAAAGGTTTGTGTACTGCTTACTGCTGCGTAGTCACTTCACCTTGTGGTAACTGACAACTGCAAAATCTTCACCTTTGGGGAAACTTGACTGGCAGTGAATAGTTTCTGTACAGAGGTCATATGATGGGTATGGCAGCACTCTCTGTGTATTAAAGCCCAGCTCTGGACCAATTTTTTAGGTATAGAATAAGAAAGAATTGGAACCTCTGGTTTGTCTGTGTCCCATTTGGGGAGATTGTTCTTCAGTTCCTGTCATGGTGACACACTGGGTCTTTACTGGGACAGTTAGTGAGGGGAATTCTCCCAAACTGGGATAACAAAAAACCTGAGCCAAGGACTCCACTAACTGTAACCCCTTTGCCCCCGCCAAAATAACTAATGTGTTGGTGTCAGAATGTACAAAAACATCCGGCTGCTTTTATACACCAGTAATAGAGCCCCGCTATGGGTCCCAGACTCTCCTATGCCTCCTGGGTGCCCGGGACCTCCGTGGCTGGTGTCAGGATGGAGAGTGGAGAGAGATCCGTGAGCTTGATCTCCTCTGTGACGAATAAACCTGGAAGCGTTCAGCTCTGAGCACTTCTGGGATCAGCGCAGTCAGTCTCTAGCCAGGGAAGAATCCGAGGAAGCACAGTCCCCTGAAATGAACACTTCTCTACCTCTAACACTTAACTTGACCAAAACCCTTTACCTGTACAGACACTCAACCCTTATCCTCATCATAACACTACGTTTAAGAGGCTGTCTGAGCCCTGCCTCCATCATGCTGCACTTACCAGCTGTAATGATTTGCATAATTGAGTGGCGGGGTTTTAGGGATGTAGATCCCCTTTAAGGTTATTGATGATGTGAGCAGGCATCAGGAGGCCACTTTTGCAAGCGAGTACAGTAGCTCTCACAGGTTCTCTTTAGAGTGATCACATGTACAGGATGTCATTACACAGTTCAATTGTGCTCATTTCTTAACGCTTGAATGAAATGCAGATCTGTCATCTGACCTTTTCCCTTTTGTGCTCCTTTGCAGTCTCGGTCACGGCAGGAAGATCCAGAGCAGTTAAGGTTAAAACAGAAAGCAAAGGAGGTGAGTGCCGCACTTGGCGTTTTACTTCTCTCTCACTGTCTCAATGGCAGTCTGCTCAATTATTTCTTCTTTCCTCTCCTACAGATGCAGCAACAGGAATTGGCACAAATGAGGCAAAGAGATGCCAACTTAACAGCGTTAGCAGCTATCGGCCCTCGAAAAAAGAGGAAAGTGGATTCCCCGGGCCCTGGTTCAGGGTCAGAGGTCAGTATCTGTTCTATAGCTACCTTTTGCTCAGGTGATCACTTGTACCATGCAAGTGTTTGGTTGTATGTGGTCACCAGCTTGCCTAAGTGTGCCAGACAGCAGGTAATAATCTGGTTTCCAGCGCCCCTCCGGACTATTGGTTGGAGAGTGCGCACTCAAAACAGTCACCCGAAGAAATATATTTAGGGACTACATGTCCCATCAATTATTGTGCAAGTGCGCATATGTAACTCGGCATTTCTAAAGTTAGACATATGTGATGCCATGAGTGTGGCTATGGAGCTACTGTGCACACTCCAGGCAACAGCACTACAAGCCAACAAGTAGGTCAGACGGATATTCTCTGCCTCGTCAGGCTTGACTCCCCCCTGAAGTTTTTCACCTACCGGGCTTAGTCGTAGGAGATCACATCATATGATTCAGCCCATTGGGTGACGTGTCTGATGAGGGAGAGAATGTCGGTTTGACCAACCTGGTACCAATAAAGCTGAGCGGAAAAAAAAACAACCCAGCAGAGTGCAGCTTATGTGTTTGTATGACCAAAAGGGTCTTTAAGTACTGGAGTAATGCAGCACACTTGCATACTGTAAGGGTCTCCTAAGGGACTGGAGTGGAGAAGCACTCCTGCATAGCATACAGGTCTCTTTAATGACTGGATTAGTGTAGCACTCTTGCATACCATAAGGGTCTCTGGTAGGACTGGAATAGTGCAGCACTCTTGCATGCTAAAGGTTCTCTGGTAGGACTGGAGTAGTGCAGCAGTTTTGCATACCATAAGGGTCTCTGGTAGGACTGGATTAGTGTACTACTCATGCATACCATAAGGGTCTCTGGTAGCACTGCATTAGTGTACCACTCTTGCATACCATAAGGGTCTCTGGTAGGACTGGATTAGTGTAGCACCCTTGCATACCATAAGGGTCTCTGGTAGGACTGGATTAGTGTAGCACCCTTGTATACCATAAGGGTCTCTGGTAGGACTGGATTAGTGTAGCACTCTTGCATACCATAAGGGTCTCTGGTAGGACTGGAGTAGTGCAGCATTCTTGCATATCTAAAGGGTCTCTGGTAGGACTGGAGTAGTGTAGCACTCATGCATACCATATCCTCTGGCTTCATTCAGGTTGCTGTTCTAACATGCCGTGTCCCCTTTCCTCCTGCAGGCATCCAGCACCAGTACGACACCCTCCAGCAGCTCCGGAGCAGGCAGTAGCAGACAGTTTACACGGCAGCGGATAACACGTGTCAATCTCAGGGACCTCATATTTTGTTTGGAAAACGAGAGAGAGACAAGCCATTCACTTTTGCTATATAAAGCATTCCTTAAGTGAAATAAAACAATAACCACAAAAACAAACTCAACAAAAATGGAAAAGATCAAGGTATTTTTTTCTTTTTGTTTTTGCAAAGACGACACTTTTCCCCACTTTGAACCTCGCCGGGACTGTTT